AAACCATTTCAGGTGACTACCTCTTGAAGCTCATGGAGAGAATGCCAAGAGTGTGCAAAGCAGTAATCAGAGCAAAGGGTGGCTATTTTGAAGAAACTAGAATATAAAACATGTTTTCAGTTATTTCACCTTTTTTTGTTAAGTACATAACTCCACATGTGTTCATTCATAGTTTTGATGCCTTCAGTGAGAATCTACAATATAAATAGTCATGAAAATAAAGAAAACGCATTGAATGAGAAGGTGTGTCCAAACTTTTGGCCTGTACTGTATATACCAGCTAAAGGCAACGGGTCATTTTGAGCAAAGCTCCACCTGCTGACAGCAGAAGAAGGTGTACCTTTAGTGGTACAGTATGAGTAACTTGTGAGTAAGTATGAGTAACTTATTCTACAAACTCAAATTTAATGTCAGATATGAAGTCTGATATACAGTAGAAATCAGTATTTGTTGTATGAGTCATGTAGCAGTAAAACATCCTTAATTTGCCTTCAGTGAAGCAGCAGATTCTCTGGTTTCAGTACGTCTACTTTTTACTTCAGTTCACCTCCCACAGACCAATAAAAGTTCTTGTCTGTTTGTATGTGGGCTGAGCAGCATTAGATTTTAGGTGGGTGGAAAGGTTGAGACCCAGCATTCCACTCTCATTGATCTAACACATACACACACACACACACACACACACCCACACACACACACACACACAAACACACACACGGATCAGTGTGTGTCAGGGCTCATTACTGCAAGCAGAATGCAGAGGTGGACAAACAAAACAAAGGAGCCTTAGCCTGTGTGTGTGTGTGTGTGTGTGTGTGTGTGTGTGTGTGTGTGTGTGTGTGTGTGTGTGTGTGTAGGCGGTGGGTGGGTAATGAGTTGAGCACAGAGGGATTTCCTGCAGTGGAGGTGGACTGAGGGAACACTGCACTTGCAATAGAAGCTCTACTGCTCATCAGAAACCTCCTGTTAACCCTTTTTGGAAGCCTGGAATTTTAAATATTTTTTTAAATTGTATATGTCAAATGTGAACTCTGTCATTCACTGTTTAGTTAGTGTAAACATCAGGTCTTGCTTATAAGATATGATTTGAGAGTAGAGCTGCAACGATTAGTCCATGATAAAGGGAAAATGAGTCAGCATGTATTATTTGTTAAGTAATAACAACAAATCATTATTTGTCAAACACATATGCCAAAACATGTATAGTTTGAGGTTTTCAAATCAATCAATCAATCAATTTTATTTATAAAGCCCAATATCACAAATCACAATTTGCCTCACAGGGCTTTACAGCATACAACATCCCTCTGTCCTTATGACCCTCGCAGCGGATAAGGAAAAACTCCCCCCCAAAAAAACCCTTTAATGGGGGAAAAAAACGGTAGAAACCTCAGGAAGAGCAACTGAGGAGGGATCCCTCTTCCAGGACGGACAGACGTGCAATAGATGTCGTACCGAACAGATCAGCATAATAAATTAACAGTAATCCGCATGACACAATGAGACAGAGAGAGAGACAGAGAGAGAGATGCAGGTAATGACAGTAGGTTACAACAACATTATTGAAAGTAATAATATTATAGTTATAGTTCTGGCTACTGTGGTACAATATGTTGAAAGTATGTATTAATATCTGGCAGTATACATGTGTGACAATAGTCATATGTGTATAATAACAGTAGAAGTATGACTAATGACTAATGATGGCAGCAGCAGCAGGAGGCATCTGGCAGGACCACGGCAGCAGCACAACCACACACGTCACGCTGTCCAGGCACCGCTGCGATATGAGTTAATCTGAGAGACAGTGGAGCACAAAGGCTCCGGAGAAGAAGCCGAGTTAGTGACATCCAGAATGGCCGAGTTAGCAAGATGCAGTAATAGGATGAGAGTGAGAGAGAGAGAGAGAGAGAGAGAGAGAGAGAGAGAGAGGGAGAGAGAGGGAGCCCGGTGTATTATAGGGGGTCCTCCGGCAGACTAGGCCTAAGTCAGCCTAACTAGGGGCTGGTACAGGGCAAGCCTGAGCCAGCCCTAACTATAAGCTTTATCAAAGAGGAAAGTCTTAAGTCTAGTCTTAAATGTGGAGACGGTGTCTGCCTCCCGGACCGTAACAGGAAGATGATTCCACAGGAGAGGAGCCTGATAGCTGAAGGCTCTGGCTCCTGATCTACTTTTGGAGACTTTAGGGACCACGAGTAACCCTGCGTTCTCAGAGCGCAGTGTTCTGGTGGGATAATATGGCACTATGAGCTCTCTAAGATATGACGGAGCTTGACCATTTAGAGCTTTATAAGTTAACAGTAGGATTTTAAATTCAATTCTGGATTTTACAGGGAGCCAGTGCAGAGAAGCTAAAACAGGAGAAATATGATCTCGTTTCTTAGTTCCTGTTAGTACACGTGCTGCTGCATTCTGAATTAGCTGGAGAGTTTTTAAGGACTTACTAGAGCTACCTGATAATAGAGAGTTACAGTAATCCAGCCTTGAGGTAACAAAAGCGTGGACCAATTTTTCTGCATCTTTTCGGGTCAGGATAGGCCTAATTTTCGCAATATTACGCAGATGAAAAAATGCAGTCCGTGAGGTTTGCTTTAAATGAGAATTAAAAGACAAATCTTGATCAAATATTACTCCGAGGTTTCTTACGGTAGTGCTAGAGGCCAGAGCAATGCCATCTAGAGAAACTATGTCATCAGATAAAGAGTCTCTGAGTTGTTTGGGGCCAAGAACAATAACTTCAGTTTTGTCTGAATTTAACATCAGGAAATTGGTGCTCATCCAATTTTTTATGTCTTTAAGGCAGTTATGGAGTTTAGTTAATTGATTACTTTCTTCTGGCTTCATCGATAAATACAACTGTGTATCATCCGCATAACAATGGAAATTTATAGAGTGATTTCTAATGATGTTACCTAAAGGAAGCATATATAGAGTAAATAGGATTGGTCCGAGCACAGAACCTTGCGGAACTCCAAAACAAACTTTGGTACGTAAGGATGATTCATTACGAACGTCAACAAATTGAAAACGATCAGATAAATAAGATTTAAACCAGCTTAGTGCTGAACCTTTTAGGCCAATTAAGTGATCCAGTCTCTGCAGTAGAATTTGATGGTCAATTGTGTCAAACGCCGCACTAAGATCTAATAAAACAAGAACAGAGACGAGTCCTTTGTCTGAAGCAATCAGAAGGTCATTTGTAATTTTAACTAGAGCTGTCTCAGTGCTATGATGCACTCTAAATCCTGACTGAAATTCCTCAAATAAATTATTATCCTGGAGAAAATCACACAGCTGGTCTGCGACTACTTTCTCAAGGATCTTTGACATAAAGGGAAGATTAGATATTGGTCTATAGTTGGCTAACACCTCTGGATCCAGGGTGGGCTTTTTTAGGAGAGGTTTAATTACAGCTACCTTAAAAGACTGTGGTACATAGCCTGTTAATAGGGATATATTGATCATATCTAATATATGAGTGTTAACTAAAGGAAAGACCTCCTTAAGTAGCCTAGTTGGGATGGGGTCTAAGAGACACGTTGATGATTTAGATGAAGAAATCACTGCGGTCAATTCTTGAAGAGAAATTGGGGAGAAGCAATCTAAATATATATTAGATTCTACAGCTGTGTTTGAGGTTAGATAGGTAGGCCTACCATCTGAGGGCAGGAGGTCATGAATTTTGCCTCTAATAGTTAGAATTTTGTCATTAAAAAAGCTCATAAAATCATTACTGCTAAGGGCTAAAGGAATACAAGGCTCAATAGAGCTTTGACTCTCAGTCAGCCTGGCTACAGTGCTGAAAAGAAACCTGGGGTTGTTCTTGTTTTCTTCTATTAATGCTGAGTAATAGTTTGCTCTGGCATTGCGGAGGCCCCTCTTATAAGTTTTGAGACTGTCTGTCCAGATTAAACGAGATTCTTCCAGTTTGGTTAATCGCCAATTCCTTTCAAATTTTCGCGATATTTGTTTTAACCTACGGGTTTGAGAGTTATACCAAGGAGCAAACTTTCTTTGCTTTGTTAACTTCTTTTTAAGAGGAGCTACAGAGTCGAGCGTTGTTCGCAGCGAGCCTACGGCGCTATCAACAAAATGATCAATTTGGGAGAGGTTAAAGTCGGCACGGGAAACCTCTGTTACTGAAGGTATTGGTATTGAATTTAACGACGAAGTAATCTTTTCCTTAAATTTTGTGACAGCACTATCTGATAAACATCTAGTATAGTAACTGTTGCTGAGTGGCGTGTAATCGAGTAAAAAGAAATCAAAAGTAATCAGATAATGATCTGATAGCAAGGGATTCTGTGGAAAGACTTTTAGGTTATCAATTTCAATTCCATACGTCAGAACTAGATCGAGGGTATGGTTAAAACAGTGAGTGGGTTCATGTACACCCTGACTGAAGCCAATGGAGTCTAATAATGAGATAAACGCGGTAGCCAGGGAGTCATTATCAACGTCGACATGAATGTTAAAATCGCCTACAATAATAACTTTATCTGATTTAAGAACTAAACTGGATAAAAACTCTGAGAATTCAGATACAAATTCAGAATACGGGCCAGGAGCACGGTACACTATAACAAATAAAAGTGGCTGCGAGGTTTTCCAGGTCGGATGTAAAAGACTAAGAACGAGGCTTTCAAATGAATTATAATCTAGTTTAGGTTTAGGGCTGATGAACAGACTAGAGTTAAAAATGGCTGCAACTCCCCCTCCTCGGCCGCTGCCTCGAGGAATGTGGGTATTATTATGACTGGGAGGAGTGGATTCATTGAGAATGACATATTCATCTTGACACAGCCAGGTTTCTGTGAGACTGAGTAAATCAATATGATTATCTGATATTAATTCGTTTACTAACACTGCTTTAGACGATAGAGACCTGATATTTAACAGTCCGTATTTAATTCTCCTGTTTTGTCTTTCTGTCACAGAAGAGGTTTTAATTTTTATGAGGTTGTTATGCACAACTCCTCTTTGTTTAATTTTAGATTTAAATAATGTAGGTGGTCGGGGGACAGACACCGTTTGTATAAAACTATGAAAACTATGGCTGTAAAGTATGCTGCATTTTTTGGTGTTACATTAATATATATTTAATAATACTGAGTTTTCGACTGCTTATTGAACAAAACAAGCCGTTTGATGAGGTCACCTTGGGCGTCAGGAGTTGTGATGGGAATTTTTCACTGTTTTCTAATGATTTATAGACCGATTTTCGGGAAAGGAATCAGCAGATTAATAGGGCTGTAGTCAACCAAAGAAAATCTTGATTGACTGAAATTTTACTTTCTCATCAACCAATCGATTTACTAATTTGGCCACCATGCACTGGGTGAATCCAGCTGGTAGTTCTGTGGTTCAGCCTAAGTGTTTTTTTACTGCCACAGAGCAAGTAAACACTGTGTTCAGGCAAGTGGAATACCTCGAGTGAAAAATAAATGTGATGTCCACTGTAATATTATCCGAAAATAAACTTCCATCAGTGTCCTGACAGTTAAATCCATTAGCTTGTGTTTCCTGGAAAGCAGCCTCTAGTGCTCAGCACTTTGAGCTTTGGTATCATGTAGACAAACTGGTTGTTATTTCATATGTCTCCACGCATTTCATTTATTAAAAATGTGTTGTTGTTTTTTTGTCATTCCCTGCTCTGCAATGGAGAAGAATTCATATGTTAGATGTTATTATATTGCTAAGTTTTTTCTGGTTTTTGTGTTTGTATCCATGCAGGTATGCCAGCCTGTATTTCTGTTGTGCGATTGAAGAGCAGGACAATGAGCTCATCACACTGGAAGTCATCCACCGCTTCGTAGAGCTGCTGGATAAGTACTTTGGCAGTGTACGTCATAAACCACTGAATCTCTCTGTTGTTCCTGGTTTGTGTGCTAAGCTTGGGCGGTGTCATTGTATTACAGTGTACCAGGGTATTTCGAAATGATTTTCAATACTGTCAAGTATACAGGCGCTTCTTTCTTTATCAAACTCATTGTATGTAGTGCATAGCATGGGCCAGAGGTCAGTCCCCAGTCTCTACTGATGGAACAGGCAGCTGAGCTAAAAGACACCATGGTACCGAGTGGTGGAGGAATATAGCCCAGACCACATTGTGTGTCTGCCTCGTTGCGGGACCTCTTGTCTTGTTTTTCAGTGCCCATCTGGCGCACAGGACAGCCATCCAGCAACAATCAAGAAAGACCTTGGGTAAAAAAAAAAAGGCATGTTTCTACATCTATTAAGGGTTTATTTCGACCAAACTGGAATTTTTGATTGTTGCAACAGTGGACTAACTAACTGGATGAGTAACAAGAGTAACCAAAATGGCTTGGGTGAGTTTTATTTTGTTTTTGTCGAGTTTGAATGAAGTGAGTTAACAGCGCAGTTAAGCCAGTCTCATTTCCGTGACTGAGAGAAACTAGAATTCAAAAGGTGTACAGTTGTGTTTCTCTGTTGAACAAGGACAATAGATGTGATAACATTACTTTTTTTTAGCATTTTAGGTATTTCTGTTGCCTATTTAATAGTTTGTAAGAGCTAGGAAAGCTTCTGGAGAGCAGGAACTCTCCAGTTGGGTGTGGGGTAGCTCACAATCATACCATCATATACCGTATACCCCGGTGAAATTTCAGGAAGGTATGAAGGTATGAAAAATGAGATATCGCCCAAGCCTCCTGTCTCCTCTTTGTCTGTGTTTGATTTCACACTGCCAAACAAAGGTTACAGAGTTAAGTGAGAAGTTGTACCACCCAAGCATGTGAAGAATTCCCTTGATGAAGAAAGCATTGATGACTTTCATTTGTGTAGGTGTGTGAGCTGGACATCATCTTCAACTTTGAGAAGGCCTACTTCATTCTAGATGAGTTCCTGATGGGAGGAGAGATACAGGACACATCTAAGAAGAGCGTTCTCAAAGCCATTGAACAAGCTGACCTACTGCAGGAGGTAATCTGGGAATGAGGGTTTTACCCAGAGACAGGTATATGTAGATGCGCATTAACTGTGTCAGCCTGTTGCAGTGATACATCAACAATGGATCTTTGATGTTTGTTCCTGGCTGCAAACATTGGCTAGTGCGCTAACATTAGCAAGCCTTCATTTTCTCATCATCATGCTTGGGTGCAGACTGGAACCTATCTAAACGCACATTATATAACATAAACAAATAACACCTTTTCTTGCAGCGGTCTTTCTAAAATGAGCAGTGGTAGAAATTATTAGATTCTGTTATGATCAAGGAGTTGTTTCAAAGACGAAAAACTTTAACTAGCTAGTGCTTTAACCAAGTTTTTAACCAAGGAGAATAAGTCAAATCCATGCTTGACCAATGTCAGTTTATACAATTTATTTTGACAATGAATTATTTTCTTATCTTAAGCCTCCAGCAGGGATTATAGCCTATCTATCAAAACTTGAATGAACTGAAGACAACTTTTTTTTCTACTACAAGTTAAATCATAAATCCTTGACTATGTAAATAACATCATCATAACTGAATGAAAACATTACAGTGCTTTTTATCCAGAAAAACTGCAGTTCCTGTTTACATGCATTTGTATATAAAATAAATATATGGTATCATAATACTCAGGATATTGGAAAACATTTAAAATTGCAATAATATTGTATCATGACCTAACTATCATGATAATATCGTATTGTGGGGACCTCTGGAGATTCACACCCCTAGAATATTGCATCTCAAAAGCTGCCTTTATTTTTGAATCCTTTATGGATGTAAATTGTCTGATGTTTTCAGTGTCACAGATGTAGTGGAAACACAGACAGGAAAGGGCGAAGCAACTTTTAGTTCTCCCTCGGTTTAGTTTCGGTAATTTGGTCAAAATGGAGTGTTAAAAAGAGTCGAATCTAAACAGACCCTCAGCTTTTATTGTATGGCATTTTTCAGTTCTCAGAGCTACAGACACATTTTTGTTGGTACCAAAAAAGTTCTGAAGTTCAATGATACCCAGCCCTAGATTGCTTGTGCCCTGTCATAGACTGGATTATGTTTGTTTGTTCTGGCCAGTGCTATTGCTGGTGCGGAGGCATTATGTTTTTGGGTTGTCTGTCTGTCCGTCCGTTCGTCCGTCCGTCCCATCCTTGTGAACGCAATATCTCAAAAACACCTTAAGAGAATTTCTTTGAATTTGGCACAAATGTCCTCTTGAAAGCAATTGTGAACTGATAGGTCAAGGTCACTGTGACCTTCCATCAGTCTCATTCTCAAGAACAGTTTGATGGAATTTCTTTGAATTTGGCACAAACATTCACTTCGACTCAATGATGAACTTATTACATTTTGTTGGTAAAGGGTCAAGGTCACTATGACCTTGTCGGTCTCATTTTTGTGAATGCAGTATCTCAAGAACACTGAGGGAATTTCTTCAAATTTGGCACAAATGTTGACTTAGACTCAACAATAAACTTATTGGATTTTTGTTGTCAAAGGTCAGGGTCAGTATGACCTTGCATCTGTCTCATTCTTGTGAACATGATTTCTCAAGAACATCTTAAGCAAATTTCTTTAAATTTGACACAATCTTCCACTTGGACTTTAAAATAAACTAATAAGAATTTTGTGGCCAAAGGTCAGTGTGACCTCACAAAACATGTTTTGGTCACAACTCAAGAATTGATGTGTTATTTATGATAACACTTCACACAAATGTCTTATAAGATAAAATAATGAACTCATGACATTTTATATCCTAAAGGTCAAAGGTCATCTTCATTGTGACATCATAATGTTTTGCATAAAACGTTTTCTGGCCATTATCAAACATCCTATCTCAGGAACAGAAGGGGAGACATTTGAACAGATACTGAATTGGTGACACTAATCTTGGGTGCCCACCTTGAAACTGTGCTGATTGTTTTGAGCTTAGGTGTGTGAAGCATCCATGTTTTCACAGACATGGATGTAAACTGTAAGAGAAACTTGACTGGTGTGCCCAGGCATACAGACGCATTGCAGTAATTTTAGTTTTTCTTTCAGCATTTCTGAATGTTTCAGGGCTGCATAATACCATATTGTAACATGTTTGAAAAAGGTGTGATTGTAGTGACTCATGCGTCTTTTACTCTCAGAGCTGGCAGCCCCATGAAATGTTGATGTGCACATTTATTGTTTTTATTGTTAGTTTGTGTAGTGTAACTCCTCCATTCTAATGTCTCTGTGTTTCCCTTTACAGGAGGACGAGTCACCCAGGAGCGTGCTGGAGGAGATGGGCTTGGCGTAGTACACAGCAAGGTTGTGAAAGACTATAGATACTAAGGCAGAGGGCTGGATGAGAGGGGGCGGGGCACAATCTGGGATTGGACATTCTTGGACTGACAGCATTGGTTCTGTGTATCTGTGGCTCTTGGGACTGATGTGCAGTGTGTAACTGGGGAAGCAACTCAGTTAAGAATGAAAGATCCTTGCATTGACAGGCCCTTTAGCTCTGTGTGTGTGTGTGTATGTGTGTGTGTGTGTGTGTGTGTGATCTGAGAGTGGGGTAGAAGACATGGTATACATTTAAACGTGTGTGGCAGCAGGGGCTTATCAGAGAGTTAAAATAAGAATCCAGAGTGGACGCTGACGTCACAGTGAGGCAGCTTGGCAGTTTGACTGATGCTGTGATGCAAAGAGGTGGTTGAACAGTCACACCTTGTCTTGAAAGTTTGCCAGGTACTGAATGTGGACTGAGACTAGGTCATGGATTTGGGTTTATAGATTGGGGGCATCATTCAAATGATAAGTCTGATGTTATTTTACATTTTTTTGTATTTTAGACAATTCTCATAAAAAAGACCAAAACCAACAACGTGTTCTCAGTGCTCAGTACTTTAAGTTTTTCCCACTTTGCCTTAACACTCATCTCCAAGCCCATTGGTTCCTACTGAAGATATAAATATTTCAAAACAGCTTTGTTGGTTTTGATCTGTATGTGAGATTTGGTGATAATCAGAAAAATATAGAATATCACCAGTACTTCAAAGGTCTAGTCTGTAGGATTTAGAGGCATCTAGCGGTCTAGGTTGCAGAACTGAAACTTCTTCTATGTGCCAAGTATGTAGGAGAACTACAGTGGCCAAAACAAAAATGCAAAAGGCCCTGTTTGGAGCCAGTGTTTGGTTTGTCTGTTCTGGGATAACTGTTGAAACAACATGGCGGACTCCACAGAAGAGGACCCGCTCTGTGTGTATGAACGAAAACACAATGATTCTTAGTTTCAGGTGATTATACTCTAATAAAAACAGTTATATTTATTATATAGCATTTCTTCCAATAGATGTCCCTAAATCCTTTACACTGGATCTTTTTAAGTAAAATTCTGTATTTATACAATCCTGTTTCCTATGGTTATGTAAGTGATAACATGAAACAAGGAAAATAACACAATGTGCTGGTGAAAAACACAGAATTTTTCTTTGTCAGTTATTTTCTTTCATTTTTTGTTGTAGTTTTAGTTGTGTAGTGTGAAGGGTCATTTTGTTTAACTGCAACTTAGGTCTTGTTTTTATAGATTTGTCCATCATTCCTACCAGTTACATTGTCATAACCAAAAGGACTGAAGGCTGTAACTACCACAGAGGACAGCAGCGAGTTCTCATCCCAACTTGTGAAATACTGCCGCTTTGTCAGTGGACCTAAACGTCAAAATATGACATGCTAGGTAGCCACCTGCGTCCGTTTTGGACGGTACAGGACGGCGTAAGACGTTGTTCGTTACATAGAGTCTTTTTCAAAATAAACTTAGGCTGTACATAAAACACCTCATTTTTAGGATTGTTTTCTTAAGGTTATGCAACAAAAGCACCAGGTTAGGTTTAGAAAAAAACATCATCATTTGGCTTGAAATAAGCACAGTTGTTATTAATATCACGTATCATCACCTGACATGCATCATGTGACATAAGTCACTACCATAGCGTGCTACACATACTACAGGGTTTCCAAGGTCATGAAATTCCTGAAAAAGTAATGAAATTACAAAAACCTTTCCAGGCCTCGAAATTTTATATCTATAGGATCTTATATGGCTGTATCACTAATTAAGTCTACCTAAATTAAACTACTTAAATACAGTCATGAAAATGGAGTGAAATACTAACTGTTCTGATATAGGCTTCACACAGGTAACAAACAGTGGGCTCCTGGGTAAAAGTCAGGATTTTGTTTGACCCATCTTCCACCACTCCTTAACAGACTTTTATGTTCTGTATAGTATGGTAGATGCCAGTGGCATTGGAAATAACAAAAGGTACCTTTGCGGATAGGTGTCTGACACGAATGTCCACTGACAAAGCGACACTATTTGACAAGTTTGGTTATTGCCCACTTCGTCAACAACTGCCACAACCTGGTGCATATCATACGGCCGCAAAGGTGCCCCTGTGTGTCAGTATCTGACGCTGAGATCATTGAGTGGCTTATTTGACGAATTGGGAGTGAGAACGGGCTGAGGACAGAGGCTATGGTAAAGCAGAATTGTTTTCTGGCTCCGCTCTCCAGATGTTTGAATACAACTTAATCCTGAGGTGTTGTCAAAAACATCTGTCAGTATATTATTACAATTATTTGAACTACACTTGATGTTTTAAACAGATCTTTAAACTTTTCTCATAAAGGTAGAGTAGTACTGTTCTGAATTCATTGCTATATCTGTGATTAGCCCATCTTACCTAACATGCCGGGCCCAGGGTGTGGATTGTGAATAATGAACCAAAGACATTTGAGATTTGCATCACGGCCTAAAATAACTTGTTTACATATGAGCCATGCATATGTACCATAAGTGGACTGATGTACCAGACAAGATGGAAATGTCAAGTCTGTCTTATGCAATTTATCAAAGTGCAACTGCGAATCACATCCCACTTAGTTTTCCTACAGACAGCAAGAAGCAACCACTGAGATTGAATGACAAGGAAAACTTTAGTGCTGAGTTGTTCTGTTGGGACTACTAACTGGTACTACATGTTAGGACTGGGTTGAAATTCCAAGGCAATTAGAATAAACTGAATTTTAGACAAGTATATCTAATGGTCGAATACATATTTTTACAGTGTTTTATCTTTTATTTTTGAACAGCTAAGTTTCCAGAATAAATGTTGGCATGTATGTTTCTGCAAAACATGAATATGTTATATTTGTATGTTTCATATTTTGCGGATATCTTAAAACTTTGTTTATTTACAATTTAACAACGCTGTGCTTAATGTGTGGTTACATTTAGGCACAAAAACCACTTGGTTATGGTTAGGAAAAGACCATATTCGGCTTAAAATACCCAGTTTTGTTGCCACAACCACAGCTGGAAATGCTGCAATGTCTTGCTAAAAAACAGCTGGTTTTGTTCTTTGTTGCTCTCAAAAAGGGATCTGCTATTTAACAGCTGTCTATCCACCATCCACCATTCCCTCCACCTCCCAATGACATAGTCCGCTCATATACATGTAATCAACTATGTCGCTGGAGCAATGTTGATGTGCAACATATGAAACACAGAAATGTTGAGTAGCTGTGGTCTGCAGAAACATACAATGCCAACATTTTCCTCTGGGGGCTGGGCTGTTTTGAATGTGTGGTTGTTACTGATTTTGTCTTATGTCTAATTTTGATGTCTGTATGAAATTCCGGATGAGAAGCAGCTCTTAGGGTAATGGAAGTCAGTAAAGTAAAAGAGCTTCTATAAATGGAGCTTGAGTTGTTCAAGTTAGTTAAACTTTCATTTAATTTAGGCAAAGTAAATAGTATGTCTGCAATCAGTTTTGAGGGTATTCTTTTGGGGTGTAACAGTTCATCAGGGTCATGGCGGGTTCATACCTCAGGTTTTAGGAGAGTTTGTTGTCTAGTGTTTAAAACAGAGAGCCTACACTCTTTGAAATAAAGGTTCCAAAAGGATTCTTCCTGAAGAGCTGACCATTTGCCTCTGAAGAACCCATTTTATGAAGGGGTTCTTCAAGGGTTCATTTAAAACTGAGGGTTCCATTCAGAATTTTTTTCATCCAACAAACTATTTTTGAAGAAAGGGTTTGTTGAGCATTCTTAATAAGAATGAGGGTTTCATTAAGAACATTTTTCGGGGCGTCAGTGGCTTAGTGGTAGAGCAGGCACCCCATGTACAAGGCTGTTGCCGCAGTGGCCCGGGTTCGAGTCCAGCCTGTGGCCCTTCGCTGCATGTCATCCCCTCTCTCTCACCCCCTTTCACACTTAACTGTCCTGTCCATTAAAGGCAAAAAATGCCCAAAAAAATATCTTTAAAAAAAGAACATTTTTCATCCAAAGAACCTTTTTTGAAGGAGGGGTTCTTTGTAAGAAGGATTCCAATAAGAATCCTTTGCATCCAAAGAACTCTTTGTTTGAGGAAAGGGTTCTTAAAGTGTTCTTTGTTTAAAAAAAAAACAAAAAAACAAAAAAAGAGTTCTTCAAGGATTGTTGAAAGCATGGGTGTTAAGATCCTTACCCTTGATTATTTGTTATATAATGTTAACCCATGTTTTTAAATAGTATGTTTAAATGTAGATGTATCAGGAATCCCTTCAGTTAATTATTTTTACTTGTGTTCTGCCATAGTTGGCATCTTTACCATAATTTTATTCCATTCAAAACCACATGGTCTTCCTGAATTTACAGGTACACAGTACTTAGCATTTTGTATTGGGTTGTACTTTGGAATCAAGTTTCGGTTCCCAACTCTACTGCACTATATGAAATTGTAAAGGCTGTAGAAGTTCACAAAATCTCCACCCCCTAAAAACAGGATTGTGAACCATGAGTGTTGTGGGTTGCACTGGACCATGAAAAAGTACCAATAGACAGCCGTCTCGCCACCATCCACCATTCCCTGCACCTCCCAATGACATAGTCAGCTCATTGACATGACATTGTCAGCTCATTGACATGACATAGTCAGCTCATATACATATAATCAATGTACGCCACAATCTTTGACGATTTAGCCCTGGGTCTTGTTTAACATTGGGTTTTGGGACCCATCCCTATCCTCGAACCATTGCGTTAATCACATATTCACTCCACTCTGTCTGGGGAGACAGTGCACAAAGCACAGTGTCCCAGAGGACGCTCCAGTGCTCCGAGAGTGTGGTGCTCTGAATAACCGAACGGTACATTCCAACAGCACTTCCCGCCCTCTGAATTTAAGTTTTTTCACCCTGAGGGCAGAAATGTGAGGCGTGTAGCGACGCAAAAACAGTGAGCAAAAAGCTTCATTCTCATTAAAAATGGTTACAAAAAGCTTCCTCCAGCTGCTAAAACACTTTCTGAGTGATCAGGCCTTAGTTCAGATTGGCCTGTAATCAGACAAATCATCTAGTGTCATTGAACAAATATATAAACATCTTGTGTTCATGCTCAAACAGAGAGTTGGAGTTTGATAGCATTTCATTGAATCTGAATCCCAAATGGCTTCAATCATTGAATCCACCACCATTTGTACCCATCAGCTTTCAATATTTGTAACAGTAGAAAATGAAATAATCTGTTAACCTCAATGTTTCAGTCATTTTAACTTGGAACTCAATCGAAAACAGGCACAGCAGTCAGAACCCAGCTGAGTGTGTGAACTGTTACACCTCCGGTATTTAGTTAGTGTGGTCTTGTCATGCTTTGCATGACACACTCTCGTCATAAAAAGCTGAGTCTGTCAGCTATACTGTGATTTCTTTGCAGTCACATGTTGGGTTTGTACAAAAGCTCATGATTGGTCATCATATATAGTGAACCAGATTTTCCCCTGGAAAAACTGTACGTTGGACAATAAATTATTATCTATGTTCACTCATATGTTCACCTTCCCAAACTTTATACACACACACACACACACATATATATATATACATATACATATATATATATATATATATATATATAAATCCTGATTCTTTCTTACTATGTGACCATGCAGTAGGGTTTTCTATTAGCTCTCCATAGTTGATTAGAGGCTATATCTACAAAATCTCTTTGTCTTGAGGTCACTATGATACTGTAACAGTGGAGGGTATCACTGTCCGTGCTTCATAAAGATCTTTCATCTAAAATAGGGTCAGGTGATGTGGTACCTTAAGAAAAATGTATGAATTA